TATTAGCTTGGAATGTGACTTGAAGTCTTTCCACCAGTAGAAACTAGTGTGGCATAAATGACACAAGGTGATCTTTCTTTTGCAGCATGCAAGAAATCTCTTGCACCTACAAATATAAGTTTAATTATACTAAATTTATGACTTTTTACTTGATTAACTATGCTCTTAGTTGTACTTTCAGAAAAGTCAAGACTAGGAGAAGTCTAATCTATTTTAGGATTATATTCTTCTAACCATGATAAACCTAAAATGACTGGATTAAAAAGAGATCTAATGATATTAAATATTATAAAACTACTATGATCATTAGTTGCTATTTATATAGGAAGGATTTCATAAGTAACATCTCCTGAAGACAACGGATGACCATCTATGACTTCTACATGAACAGGTTTAATTTTCTCCACAAAAAATATGCTATGTCTTTTAGCAAATTTTTCATCTAAGCAACATGCTGAGGCTCCTAAATCTAATAAGACAAAGGCTTTGAGATATTTAGGTCCTAAAATAATATTTATCGTAAAACATGGAGAGGGTTTTGAGGAGAAGATAGGACCTTCACTAGGCGTTGTACAAGGTTCCAACCGCATGATTCCTATTGTAGCTGGATAAATTTATTTTTTGACATGCTATCTCCTTCGATTGCCGTACTCTTCATTTTATGGTTGTGTCGTTTCTTTAGGCAATGTTGAGCAATATGCTTATGTTCTCTACAATATAAGCACAAACCTTCTTGATGACGACGAGTCTTTTCTTGCTCAATAAGAGATTTGAAACGTACTGCATCAATTTACATATCCTCTACTTCCAAATGTATGTATTGAAGAGATGTTGATGTTGCTATTAAATTATAGTTACGTTGAGATTCTTAGATCAGAATTCAAAAAGACAATTGTCGCACTTCACCACAAAGTCAATTGCTTGACTCAATGTTTGATGACCAGGTAAGTTGAGCATTAATTTTTTTACCTCACATTGTAATCTGTAGAGAAATTGGCTAATGAATGAAGCATCATCCCACTTGCTATGAGTTGCTAGTTGTTGAAATTGTGAAGCATACAAGCTTACAGATGGATTGCCTTGTCATAAAATATGGATCTTATTGGTTGTAACACAAATTACATCATGCTTTCCATACATGGATCGAAACTCTGTGAGAAAAGCCTCTAGATTATCTAATATTAGATCTCTTCATTTAAGAAAAGATGAAAACCATGATATTACTGAACTTGAAAGAAGCATATCAATGAATCTAACTTGTGATCCTGGACTTGGATAGCTTTGGAATTGATGTTCAATCACAAGTTGTACTTGATTGATAAATCCTCTAAACTTTGATCTAGTGCTATCAAACTTCTCGAATAGAGTAATTCTTGGTTCTCTAACACTGGAAGGGCGTTCCACTATAGACAAGAGTAAAGTAGGCTTCACTCATGTCTCTATATATACTATCTAACTAGGAACTATGTAACAATGTTCTATAGGACCTGCAATATGTATTGACTTTGTAGGACACATGCCTTGACTTACAAGACAAGTTTTTCTACGTGTGGGCCACATAGTTAGCTTGGTCTTCAAGCTAACAACATGTGTGGCACATGGCCAACTTGTTGACCACGTTTCTAATCCAAAAAGTCAATTAAATACACCTATAAAGTCAAAGCATCGTCTATAAAGCTTCTAAGAAGCTTCCATACTAAATACTATAGAATTAACTTACTTTTATCTATTTTTACTTACTTCTACCTATTTATATATGTAATAACTGGCTTACATGAATATGTCCGTGACACGTATTTCAGGACTTTCTAATCTTTTGGCTTTGGCAATAGCCATTCTAGTTTAATAATCTATCATCTTTGAGTAATTTTTTAGTATTTTTGAGTGATATAAAAGTATATTGAGATTTTTTTTCTTTGAGATTCATGTTTTTAATAAGTGTTTGAGACCAATAATAAAAAAACAAGGGAGGGAAATGGAAACAATGGACTATGAACAAGAAAGTGAGAAAGAAATGGACAAAATTAATTATATGATGGTAAAGAGGGTTTAGCTTTAATAAATCCTTGTATACAGAGGGAAAGAAAATTATACAAACTAGTATTTATATGAATATGTAAATTTAGATATATATATATATATATATATATATATATATCACACTTCTTGTGTTTTATTCTAATACATTGAATATCATGCCACTCTATATTTATATAAATTTAGTGTAATAAGAGTATAATTAGTTACTATTAGATGAAAGCTTTATTTATTTAATATTAGAGTATAAAAAAATAAACAAGGATTTATAAGCATTTTGATAAAAAAAATCAACTAAATAAAAAAATATAAAAAAATAAAAATAAAAATAAATAAAAATAAACAAAAATAAAAAAGAATGAAAAAGAATATTGATAAAAAAAAATCAAGTATATATACATACATACAAACATACATATACTCACATAATAACAATTGTAGATTAATTTATGAATAGAAAAAAGATAAACATCCAAAAAACTTTTATGTATATATAACTTTTGTAATAGCTAGAAATTATGCAAATATATATAGAAAATATTATTTATATTTATTGTACAATTTAATTTAATTTAATTTTTTTTAATGACAAAAGACACATGGTAATGAAAAAAATGAATTTCAATTTCACTTATAGTGAGCTTTTGCAAATTAATAGCTAAATTTTGTCATATTTTTACATCATTACATACTTTGAAGTTAATGTTTGTACTCATGTAGAAACTAATGTGTTTGCAGATAGTGTTTTAATTGCATGAACATCAATATTCACACGACTTTTCACAAGATCCACCATGTAGAATTGGGCAGCAAGAAAAATTATTAACAAAAAGGGATCTCCATAAATACATTATTGAAGCATCCCTGGTTTGAAAAAACAGAGATGAAACATACATGTTATTCTACTTCTCAAATTCTATGGCCATCAAAAATTTAATTGGTCCAAGAGTTCCAATAACTTCTTTTGATTATACAAAACCACTGCTTTCAAGAATTATTCTGTTGATACTATTTGCATTACCATCATTGAGCTTCTTTAATCTCAATATAATCAGAGAATATTAAAGTCAAATTAAATCATGCTTATTGTTGAAAGATCAATTATGAGCCAAATTGTGTTCAGTTGTTTAAAATCAAAATCAGCTACATGATGTGATTGTAAAATTTTAAATAATATTGACTTCATATGTATGTGTGTGTGTGTTTTTACCTGCTAAAGTAAATGCATTGGGTTGATACAAATACGGGATTTTTATATATGGTATATATATATATATATATATATATAAATTATAAATCATTGATCTTGCAGTGTTTTTTATTTTATTTTATTTTATTTATTTGTTCATCATACTTTATTTAAGAAGAATAGGAAGAAACAAAAAAAAAGGTCACATTCTTGCAACTAAGCAGCACACTACCATTGGATCCTAGTGTAAAGTATCCCAGTATGTTGTAGAATAAAATATTTTTCCATTGTTATAACCACCTGCATTATTTTGCATTGTTCTTATCTCATCCAAAGTAGGGAATAGTTACCCAATCCCCAAACATTTTTATTGATCTTGACTTTGCTTGCAATGTTTCCATTGCATCATTCAAAACTACCTAGGTTCTATTTCCAAAAATATAAATAAATATAAAAACACCCACACACACACACATCACAATCATTCAATTGGATTCAAGTTGCACCAAACAGTGGAAATATGAGGTGTTGCCTCTTCATTCTTCCCACTCCTAAAATTAAACTACCCACTCTTTTGTAAATAAAACTAGACAACATATCAAATTTATACTCTATTTATCCTTTTTAACAGTTATCTCATACATACCGTGCACCCAGGAAACAATGAAATGGGACACTACAGTCCAAAATACCAAGCCTGTGGTCAGACCTAAAGTAGGTTTAGTGCCAGGTCTGGTAATATGAGACATTCTGAGAACCACGCACAGCCACGTGACCAGACCTAGCCACATTTTTCCAACCCTCCCGCTACCAACACTGAACAGAAGCAGGTCCGATGGGGTGGACACCGAAGCCTAGGTTGATGATGTGTGTGTGTGTATGTGGGTGGGTACATATTTAAATAAATCCAAGTCTACTTTTTCTTCCACTATTTCAATACTAGCGGGATCTATCTGGAAGATTCAAATAATGTGTGTATTTGGTCTTCTCTCACCTGATCGCGAATAATGCATCTCAACACAGTTCTTGAATAAAATATTTGTATGTATGTGTGTATATATATATATATATATATATGTGTGTGTGTGTGTATGACCATTTCATTATTTATGCTCTATATTAATACAGCTATTTTTATTTATTTTCTTTTACCTACTGTGTAAATGTATCACTAAGGCATCATGCCGTCTATCAACAAAAGTTGTGAAATGTAGATTGAAAAAATATCACAACAAGTACATGCAATAATATACGACAGCCCATATCGAAAATTTCATCCACGAATAATGGATGAAAATCAACGACATACCCTCCTAGTTCGTGAGACACTGCGTTCATCCACGCGAAATTTATCACAACTCAGCAGGAATCCCCCATTCCCTAAAATATAGGAGTGCATTCCCAATCATCGAGGGGGACGAAAATGGAGCGATGCAGACTCCATGGGCAATTGCGATATCAATGAAGGGACATATTCATCCAAAATCGGAGGGTGGAGATTCTGTATCCCCCCCTGCGAGCAACTCACGTCCATCACATTCTGTTCAAAGTGATCGCAGTGTGAAAAGGAGAAATGGGATTTAAATTAGGTGGGGGGGGGGGGGGAGCTAGAATGGAGTAGTGAAAGAAAGCGGTGAGAAGAGGGGGTTTGCCCAAGGGAGAGGGGGAGTTACCGAGATCTGCTCTGCTCTCCGTTGTGTTGTGGTAGATGAGCCCCAATTATGGAGACGCCGGACAAGGTCAAGGCCAGACAAGCCCAGCTTCCCCTCATTTGTAGGCTAGCTAGCTGTCCATCCCCCCCTCTCTCCATCGTCCCCTTCCGCCATTGCCACTAGTGAGTGCCGCTGGTGCACCCCTCCCCTGCGATCGTCCTCCTCTTCTCCCTCTCGTAAGCTTCTCCATGGATGTTGTTGTGTCGCGATCTTTTATTTCGTGGTTGCGGAGCTCGGACCTCGGCGAGGCGACGCGCTGAAGCTTTGCCTCGTCTTTCGCGGGGCCGTGTCTGGTTTGTGGACGCGGAGCTGTTCGCTGTGAGTTGGTCGGTTTGTCTTTCGCTCGCTCGGTCGTTTGGTTCTTCGTCTCGTTTCACCAGGAGAGAATGCTGCGGTGTTGCAGTGGCGTTGGGCGAGTGTTAGGTCTGTTGTGATGTGGATATTGTGTCGGTTGTGGGTTTCTTGGTATATATTAGGTGCCGTCGTAGGGGGGGGGGCTGTCGAGGTACTTCCGAGGCAGTGCGGGAACCGGAGAGATATGGTGACGAGTTGTCCGTGGTTGTTTCGACGTACTTGTTCCGTTGAAAAGGATGTTGAATGTCATGTACCGGCATTTCGTTGTTGTTTCACCACGTGACTGTTGGTGCATGAGCGCGAGATTGGTTAGCATTGTTCGTTATTGTGCACATCAATTTCCCCCTACCTTCGAAGTCAGAACGTGTTGGTGGTAGTTTCAGAGGAATGCAGTTGTTTTGGAGCCTGTGCAGGTCTGCATGAGATGTCTTTTTAATGATTCGCTCTCGGGCTTTATCTTTCCCTGATCAGTAGGTCTGCCCACCACGTATCCTATCTCGATAACCTTGATTTTTGAGATCATGTACGTCCCGAGCACTGAGGAGTTCCTTAGTCTGGATCTTCATTGTGCATGGCACATCACTTCCGTGTTCTTGTAAGTTGGTGGTGCGGAGGTAGGAACGCCCGGGCGAATAAGTATCAACGAAAGACGTCATTTCGTTAATCTGCGGCATGCATTCTCTCCGTCCAAATATCAGGAGATGGCCTTGGCGAGCTTGATAAAAGCAGGGTGTAGTTGCCCTACATTCGATATCTCGTATTGACTTTGGACGGGCCGGTTTGTTCTTGGTTAATACTGTGGCTACGGGCTATTTCTCTTCCGTCACTTCAAGTGTTCCAGATTCTTTTGACCCAGTTCTGTGAGATATCTTCTGGGAACGTTTGCACTAGCAGTTCTTCCTGAATATGCTGTCTGACACTCGGAGAGATTTTGGTGTGTTAGTAAGTTGTGGAAACAGATTGTTGGCGTATGATTGTCTTCGTTGAAATTCCTGAATTCCCAGTTGAGCTAAATATGCGTATGATATTCTGTGTTTTACTATTCTTTTATTAGTTTGTACATCTTGGGGTTTCTTATCACTTCTTTCACCGATTATTCTGCAGGTGTATGTCCTGGTTGGAGCATGGCACACTTCCCCCTCTAACCTACGAACGAGAAAGTCGACGATGGAGGGTTAGAATAAGGGTCTGGTTACATCCCGTCGGCTTCCTCTTGGTCTCAGCACACACGCTCTTCCAAACCAGCTGATCTCATGCGCCGTAACAGCGATTATCTAAGCTGCTAAAAAACGTTTCTCGATGGCATTCAGAAAGAATCCACCGAATCTGCCCTTGCGGAACCATTCCAGGAATGGCGGGTACCGGGTTTCTGTTATTGGCCTCCTATTAATATCTGTCCTCGCCCCTATTTTGATCTTGGCGACAAGGACGTCGAACTTCGTATCAGCAGGTATTACTTACACTCTCAAGTACCCAGGATTGGATTTCTTGATGATTTTCACGTCATGAAGCTCATATCTTGTCGTCTTCCAGCCGCATTCAGCCCGTATCAGTTACTTGGTGCATTCTGAAGTGCTATCTTCGATTAGGAAGTGATATTGGACTGGTTAATGAGGTTGTCGAGTGTGCTGGGCAAGAGCCAAAGCTGCCATGTCAGCATGTCGATATCACAGTTCATCTGGAATCATACATAAAAAAAATTATCAGCGAGAATGTGAGCCAGTTTCGAGAAAACTGGATACTTACGGTTTTTTTCACAGTGGTAATTGCATGGTCCCGTGAAAGCATTTGTAGATAGGTTTCACCATCATTTCTGTCCAGCGATTTACGTTTCTGGTGGTATCTGTTGTAATGTCTTGTGTGCAGGCTTAAATGGTGACCAATCATCTGTCTCGGTATGTTCTACGACTTTCTCCCCTGTCTGAGAATCGATTCCGCAATTTCTTATCCTTTATGTAACTTTGTGTAATCGTCTTCCCGTCCAACCTTAGAGTCCTTGCTTGATGCCTGCTCCTGCAGTCAAGGATAGAGGAGATTCGACGACGCAGTGCGTTGGAAGGCATAGAAGCTCTGCTTCCTAAAGAGGTGTGTTCCCTTTTCCTTGGTTATAGGAGATTCCAGGATCATCAGAGAATCTCTGCTGGAGAATTGTAATGTAGATCCACGTCTCAAGTAACTTTATAACTACATAGATCTGTTCCGAAGTTGTGACTTTTTTTCTAGAATTTGCGTATGGGTTGCAAACTATGAAGTAATGTTCATGTATAGATTTGTGTTCATAGCTGGAATGAATATAAATTGTGTGTGTGTGTGTGTTTTTTTTTCTCTTCTCCTCATTCTGTTTCGTTTGGGTTTTCAGGTATTGGACCTAGTTAATTCTAAACCAGAACGCACTGGACCTCTGAATTTGAATATCGTTGGCCACAAAGATAGGTCCTCATCTTGGGTTCAAGAAGAGGGCAGGCTTTCTTCAAGGAAGTCCCAGTCTTATGAGGTAATCTCCGGGTAGATTCGCTGGGCATTGTGGGGTTGTTTCTTACTTTGCAATATACTTGCGCTACAGGCCAATGTGGCACTCTATAGTCCCAGGTGTTTACGTGCTACATTCAGAATAATAGAGTATTTCTTCTCTGATATCCAGGACGCCAAGGTGGCCTCAGACAGTGGAGACAAGAATAAGGTCGGTAATGAAGAATGGGATGGCGAGAAGACGGGTATGTGTAAATGCTCATTTAAAAGTTTTTGAGAAACTCATTTGTTACACGACTGATTTCTGTGAAAAGTCTAGCACCTTTAAGTACTTCAAGTTGAAGTTCAGCCGTTCATGTTAGAGTACATGCTTTCTCTTCTTCATTCGACCTAACAACGCTCTAATTTAAGTTGTTTAAATTTAGCCACACTTCTTATCGTCTGATCCAGTTCAAGCAATTGTCCGTATACTAATTGTATGAACTCGCTGTTGCTTGGTGTGTTCCCAGTGAATGGCATGATCTCGCAAGTCGTCGAGGCCAAGGATGATTCAAAGACTGAATCCAATTCCACGGATTCCTCTAAGGAGGTAGGAAGCAGCGTCAGCACGTGGAAGCGAGATTCGGATACTGAGAACTCGGATGCCCTTGTCCGGCTGATGCGGGACCAGTTGATCATGGCACGAGCTTATGCCAACATTGCTCAAGGTCAAGGTCACTACGACTTAGTTCGTGACCTGAAGCTGCAAATTAAGGAACATACAAACGTCGTTGGAGATGCCAATGTGGATGCTGAATTGCCAGCAGGGTATGCAGCAGACTCTTCCTCTCAATACTTTCGCATCCTTCAGTGTCGAGATTTTGGTTTTGAGAGTTGGGTATGGGTAGTATGGGAGGTTGTATACTTGTGTTTTCGATCTGCTACTATTGCTTATGCGGTTACTTATTCTTGTCTCTCTTGAACCCCTCGCAGCGCTGAAGGCAAAATGAAGTCTATGAGTGCGCTTTTGGTTGAAGCTCGTGAGAAGCACTACGAGAATGCGGTAATGATAAAGAAGTTGAGAGCAATGTTACAGTCTACTGAGGATAACGCCCGAATGCTGAAGAAGCAAAGCACTTTCCTAAGTCAGTTGGCTGCCAAAACTGTACCGAAAGGACTGCATTGCTTCTCGATGCGTCTAACCGTGGAATATCATACGCTTTCGTCTGCCGAGCAGGAGTTCGAACGCAAGGAAAAGCTGGAGGACCCTGATCTTTATCATTATGCCCTTTTTTCTGACAACATCCTGGCAGCAGCACTTGTGGTGAACTCGACCATTCTAAATGCTAAGGTACAATA